AAAGCATCTGAACAATAAATTAAATTGTAGAACAACTCAGAAAGTGCAGTAATTCAAGTTAGCTAAAATAAAATTAATTGTTAACTGGCCATCGTGAAGTCGATGTCTTTACATGGCAGTGCTGAAGGGAAAGAAAATTAGCAACAATAGAAGCAGATACACCTTGAAAGCTTGACAACTTCAACAGTTTAGTGACAGTAATCACTGAAATGGTTGCAATAACAAAATGGAGTTTTGTATCATCAAGTGCTACGCATAAACGCACTGCGAGGATTTGAGGAATCACGGAAAAATCAAAGATCAAAGAGGAAAAAATGACATAAAACAGCAACGTTTTGACGCAAAAAGTAACAAAAATGAACAAGAGAGCACGGAACAGAACCAAACAGCACCTGTAACGTCATCTCATCATCAATGGCTCAGTTCATCAGAGTGGTTCAACTACAGCTTCAAAGCTTTACTTACATAAAATATACAAGCAAGCAAAAAAGCAAACAAACACACACACAACACTTTAACGTGTCGATCGGTAAATAAAATGCTTCATTGCAGAAGAGGTGAAATCGACAACTGAAACACATCTGTGCCATAGCAGCATTGGAACACAGTTAACCAACTAAACAAGCAGACGATCTAAACTATGCAAATTATTATGGCTATTTCAATTATCCCAGTTAAGTCAATGAACTGAATGCTAAAAAAACTATCATTATTAAAGTCCCACTCTAATTATTGCAGATACTTAACAAAGAAAAAAAAAAACTGCTCAAAATGAGGAGATATCAATCACCCCTCCATGACGTACGTCGGTAGACATTGGCACACATACACACACGCACACACTAAGCACACATGATACATGCAGCAGCAATCTATGAAAACCTGTCTCAAGCTTTCTTTTCATTTTCTTTCTTAAGTCCTACTTTTGAGCACAACTCTACATAGATACGAAAACCAAATTTTACGCAATTAAAAATAAAGTTTTAAAGTTAAAACCATTGAAAAAAAAAGATACAGGGCTCACTCGGCTCCGTTAACAGCAAAGCAACTGACAATGTAAAAGTTCATACCAAATTTAAATCCTTAGTAATTGTTGGTCAATGCAGTGTAATTTAACATCACATTGTGCAACTGAGATTGCATACATCACTGACGTTATTTTTAATGAGAAGAAACCCCATTTCCACCTTGATAAAAAATTTTTTTGAAACTAAAAAACAAAAAACAAAAAAAAAAGACGAGAAAATAAAAAAAAAAAAAAATGAAGTAAATAAAAACAACTTCTTTCTCTCAAAAACAGCTGAGTGGTGTCAATAATGTTTTCAGTAAAAGAAAAGCGCTGAAAAAAAAAAAAAAAAAAAAAAAAAAAAAAAAAAA